AACGTCGTTGCCAAGCGACGAAAAAAACACCGGGGGGGGGGCGGCTTGTTTTACAACGTCGTTGCCAATCGAAGAAAACCCAACCCCGATGGTAAACACCGGGGGGGAAGGGTAGTCTCAAGGCGTTTTGGTGTGTTGTGTGGGATGACATTGCGGTCCTGACTGCAGCTCATTACCAGACATGATGGATGGATGGGTGGAGGGATGGGTGGATCAAATCAATGGGTGCTTTTGAAGGTGTGGTAGCGATAGATACGATGCTGTTTTTGTCTGTGCCGGGGCTTCTTCCGCCTTCCTCCGCGTCTGCTGCCCCCGTGAAGGTGCCTGCTGCTCCTCCTGCTTCTGGAAAAGTCGTGTCGCTTGCGTGAAGCGATTCGCGCTGCAACACCGTGTAGTGGTGTTACAGTGGTGATTAGCACTAAATAGTAACTACAAACTGTACAGTATACATGACATAGGGTTAGGTTGAGGGTGTTCGTCTCGTTTTTGTCCTGGGTATTTTTTTTTTTTTTTTTTTGTTGTTGTGGGGACGCCAAATATTTTCAGTTTTGGGGACGCAATAATTGTTTTCCGCTTTGGGAACGCAACATTTTTTTCAAATCTTGGGGCGCAAAATGCAACGACGAAGCAATGCATTCCCCGTGCTAAAGCGCCTATCTGGACCCTCATTTACCACCCTACCCCCCACCGTCAACGCAGTTCTTGCAACGCCCCGCCCGCCGCGGCCAGCCATCCGCCTCGCGTAGACACGTCATGGTTACCGTCGCGGCTACTGTTGGGTTACAGTTGGGTTGCCGTTGGCGTTATTGTTGGCGTTACCGTTGAGGTTAACGTGGAGGGTTACCGTTGAGGTAGCCTTGAGCGCGATGCATGGGTGGCGCCATCTCCCACAACGCGTTCAAGCGCCTGCCGCCTTCCGCGCGCGCGCGTGCACATCTGCTTGCAATTTTCCTCGCTTCACTTTGTTTTTATTTTTATTTTCTTCCTCTCGTTTCTGATGCAGGACATGATATGTAAGGAGTCGTCTTTCCAGCTCCTCAACTCTTGTGGGCTACTGAAGGACCACTTCCCGTGCACGGCGTGTACAGAGAGCAACGGGTTTGAGCAGCCCTGCTACGTTGAGCTGGACGCGCCGGAGGAAAACGTGAGAGAAAGCGTACTGCTGTAGGAAAGGAACTGGGTAATGGTGGTGGATATGGAGCTGCTGCTGCTGTTGCATCTGGGTTTGGCCGCGGCAGCACCCTTTGTTTCCGCGTGGAAAACGGTTACGTGTTTCTGGTACCTTTTCGATCACCCTGACCGTGTCCGAAGAAGTAGAAGAGGCCGGAGCTGGTGCTTGCTTGTTGGTGCTGTGCCTTGTTAATCGCGTGTTGATGGCTTGGGTGGTTAGTGGGTGCGTTTGTGTTGGTGTTTTTTGCAAATAATAGTGACAATTGTACGCTGTTCGGCAAATAAGGCGGTTCTCGGAAAGCGAGAGCCGGCTCCGCCCATGAACAATCGTATAATTGCCCCCCATGCGAGGTCAATGGTCTGCCCACTACGGCATGCATTTGCTCGAGTACCCCCCCCCCC